ATACTGTGAGTATTCACTGGTTCCTTTCTAACAGTACAAGTACACAATACTGTGAGTAATCACTGGTTGCTTTCTAACAGTACAAGTACACAATACTGTGAGTATTCACTGGGTACTCTCTAACAGTACAAGTACACAATACTGTGAGTATTCACTGGTTCCTTTCTAACAGTACAAGTACACAATACTGTGAGTATTCACTGGTTCCTTTCTAACAGTACAAGTACACAATACTACTAATAATAGGAGGCAGTCACTATGATGTGTAATGGGAGCAGAGAGCATCATGGGAGCTGTAGTTCCTAATGCTAAACAAACTAAAGGATAGACAGGAAGTGATGTCAGGACTTTGGCACGACCAATGGGAGAGCTGCTTTTCACCAGTAGAGGTCGGGTATCTCTCTGACTGGGTTACCCTCCTCGTGTCTCCAGGTGTCTCCCAGTGCTCCCACTGCTCCCAGTCCGGTACAGTATGCTGCCGGCCTCCATCCAGATCACTGGTGAGCTGCTGTCGGCGGCTGAGGTCCAGGACATATGTGAGAGTCTGAAGGAGGACGGCGTGCGGCTGCTCTCCGTCCGCGGCTGTCAGCTCTCCGACCGCGACTTTGGACGCGTCTGTCGCGGTGTCGCAGAGTCTAACTCGCTCGCTCAGCTGAACCTCAACCTGGGCGTCGTCTCCGGGATCAATCGGACCAGACACCTGGCCGACGCCCTGAAGACCAACCGGTCTCTGCAGACCCTGTTGTGAGTAGGTCACAGAGACTACCTTATTCCTAATAACCTGTTTACTTCCACTAACACGTCTGTTTACATGAAATGTCCTATAAAGGACTTCCTGTCTGGAGATCTACAGGTTTAGTAGATCTGGAGACCTCTAGTGGTGAGGAGAGGAAACGTCACTCTGTAGAGCAGAGTTTGGTTTGTCCGTTCTGGGCTTCTGTAGAAACATTAACCTATACATTAAACTACACATTAAACTACACACGACACAAACTACACACTGCATATTAAACTACACACTACACATTAAACTGCACATTAAGCTACACATTAAACTACGCACTACACATTAAACTGCACATTAAGCTACACACTAAACTACGCATTAAGCTACACATTAAACTACGCACTACACATTAAACTACACATTAAGCTACACACTAAACTACGCATTAAACTACACATTAAACTACACAGTAAACTATGCATTAAACTACATATTAAACTACATACTAATCTACACACTGCACATTCAACTGCACATTAAACTACACACTGCACATTAAACTACACACAGCACATTAAACTACACCCAACACAAACTACACATTGCACATTAAACTACACACCAAACTACACATTAAACTACACCTCATTAAACTGCACATTAAACTACACACTTCACAAACTACACACGGCACATTAAACTACACACGGCACATTAAACTACACACTGCACATTAAACTACACATTAATCTACACACTGCACATTAATCTACACATTAATCTACACACTTCTGAATGTGCGGTATAAATGTCCACTCGATGCTCCTTAAACCTGAATAATATCAGACCTGATTCTGAATTTCCTGTTTACGTCATTGTATCAAATTCGTGTGCATACAGTCGATGTGATTGGTTTGTAAGACTCTGGTCCCGCCCCTCCAGTCTCCATGGCAGCCCGCTGTTGGACGCCGGCCTGGTGACCTTGAACTCGGCCCTGTCGACCCACCCGACGCTGGTCTGTCTGGACCTGGGAGACTGCATGCTGGGAGACGAGGCGCTGGGTCTGATCTGTGGGATGCTGCCGCCCGACGGAGCAAAGTCAGGTAACCAACACCTGAGAGTCAGAGTCAGGTAACCAAACACCTAAGAGTCAGAGTCAGGTAACCAACACCTGAGAGTCAGAGTCAGGTAACCAAACACCTGAGAGTCAGAGTCGGGTAACCAAACACCTGAGAGTCAGAGTCGGGTAACCAACACCTGAGAATCAGAGTCAGGCAACCAACACCTGAGAATCTCCATGATGACACCGAGTTTAGATGTTGAACATGTTTCATGGTGTCACACATGACCCAGTCGCATGACCCTAACTCTCTAACCCTCTAACCTTCTAACTCGCTAACTCTAACCCAGGGGTCGGCAACCTGCATGCAGCTTTTAGCCTCTCTGTTGCGCCTCCCTGAGATCCCCAACTGGCACACCGGATCCGGACCGAGAAACTAAAAACCGATAGATAATTCGGAATTATGCATATTGGGCACCGAGTTGAAACTTTAACCGACGCATCTTATTCAGCCATTACGGCACTTATTCGGCGGTGCAGGAAACACACTGACCAATGCATTGCAAATCACATCACGTGATACAGCTCAGCCAATCAAATATGAGTATTCTGACAAGTTTCCTGACTCGAGCGAGGTTTACACACACCATGACACACGGGGGAGAGACGAGGAAATAGAAACAAGAGCAGGGAAATTGCGCTGATCGAAGAAGTTATCTCACATGACGTTCTCCAAAAAGAGAAACGTGTTCAGAGAGAACAGAATCTATAAGCAAGAATGAACAGACTCTTCTATGTTAATTCCTCCCACAGGCCGTTAAAACCAGCATGTCTCATATGTTCAGAAACCGTAACTATTGATAAAAGCGGCAAATGAAGCGCACTACGAGACAAAGTACAACTCTTTTGAGTAAACGTACCCACTCACATCTAAATAAAGACACAGAAAATAAACCTAAGAGCCCAATATGACCAGAATCCTAACACATGAATTTACTGTTCAATGATGTTAACAGAGAGAATAGAGCTGAAACAAGTGTTAATAACCACAGATAAAGTCCATGCTCACTGATTTATCTTTTTAGATGACAAAAATATAATATTGTGGCTTTTTTATTGACATCACTTCACACCTGAATGAACTGAATTTAAAGCTGCAGGACAATTCAGTGAAATTCATTTTTCTAAAATGAATTACTTTATTTTAAGATGCACATTCTTGAAAAGCTTCCTGTTATGTCAGTTATTCTTTAATCCAGCTCTTATTTTACTTGAAATGGGAAGAACATTTATTTATGTATTATGTATTATTTATAATCCATCCAGTTAAATTTGAAAACTGAGAATAATAATTGTTAAAATATAATTGATGTGTACTTTCTTTATTTGATTTGACAGTTGTTGACTACACAGAGACGTTGTTACTACTACTAGACTTCCTGAATATATATATATATATATATATATATATATATATATATATATATATATATATATATATATATATATATATGGCACTAAATAGCACGGGTTAGATATTATTGTAATGTTTCGGACCTTTGCCCGAGGACATTTTTCAATCTGGACCTTTTGGAATTTTAGTTGACCCCTGCTCTAACTCTTTCACTCTTTAACTCTTTAATCCTCTAACCCTCGAACCCTTTCACTCTTCAACTCTTTAATCCTCTAACCCTCTAACTCTTTCACTCTTTAACTCTTTAATTCTCTAACCCTCTAACTCTTTCACTCTTTAACTCTTTAATCCTCTAACCCTCTAACCCTTTCACTCTTTAACTCTTTAATCCTCTAACCCTCTAACCCTTTCACTCTTTAACTCTTTACCGGCTGATCAATAAAACCACGAGACAGATAAAGAAGAGGAGTCCGTGTGAGGTTTAAGTATATTAAAGTTCTCAGAAGCACAGAGAAAATTCCAACATTTAAAATGTGTATTCATTATCTCTGAAAGCTCGGAAAGAATTAACATGTTCTGTTCAGAGGCACAAAACTTGTTCTTGAACACACGAGTCAGGATTAGACGATTACAGTCAGACTCAGAGTGTAAAGTGTTGATGTTGTGTTTGTTGTCCTCTGGAGGTCTGAGGGAGCTCACGCTGAGCGCTAACCCAGGAATCAGCTCCAAAGGCTGGGCTCGACTCACCATCGCTGTGGCTCACAGCTCCCAGATCAGAGTCCTGAACCTGGACTACAACCCACTGGGTAACTACAAATTACACACATTAAACTACACACTACACACATTACACTACACACATTACACACATTAAACTACAAACTACACACATTACACTACACACATTACACTACACACATTACACTACACACATTGCACACTACACACATTAAACTACACACTACACACATTAAACTACACACATTAAACTACACACTACACACATTGCACTACGCACATTAAACTACACACATTAAACTACAAACTACATATGTTAAACTACACATATTGAACTACAAACATTAAACTACACACATTAAACTCCACACATTACACACATTAAACTACACATTACACACATTAAACTACAAACTACACACATTACACTACACATATTGCACACATTAAACTACACACTACACACATTAAACTACACACATTAAACTACACACTACACACATTGCACTACGCACATTAAACTACACATTACACACATTGCACTACGCACATTAAACTACACACTACACACATTAAACTACACACATTAAACTACACACATTGCACTACGCACATTAAACGACACACTACGCACATTAAACTACAAACATTAAACTACACACATTAAACTACACACATTGCACACATTAAACTACACACTACACACATTATACACATTAAACTACACACTACACACATTACACACATTGCACACATTCAGCTACACACTACACACCGAGATCAGAGTCCTGAACCTGGACTACAACCCACTGGGGTAACTACACAATACACACATTAAACTACACACATTACAAACATCAAACTACACACTACAATACACATTAAACTACACACATTCAACTACACACGTAAAACTACACACATTAAACTACATACGTAAAAATACACACTAAACTACACATGTTAAACTACGCACGTTAAACTAGAACACGTTAAACTACACGCGTTAAACTAGAACACGTTAAACTACACATGTTAAACTAGAACACGTTAAAGTACATACGTTAAACTACACACGTTAATCTAGAACACATTAAACTAGAACACGTTAATCTAGAACACATTAAACTAGAACATGTTAAACTACACACGTTAAACTAGAACACGTTAAACTACACACGTTAAACTATAACACGTTAAACTACATACGTTAAACTACACACGTTAAACTAGAACACGTTAAACTACACACATTAAACTAGAACACGTTAAACTACACACGTTAAACTACACACATTAAACTACACGTTTGTTTCCAGGTGACCAGACAGCAGGAATGCTGGCGGTTGCCGTGGCGTCCAGTAGAACCCTGGAGGTTCTGGACCTGGAGGGCACTGGACTGACCAACCAATCAGCACAGGTCATCATCAGTGTGTTTGTCCAGCAGAGGGAGACACACATACACACACATATACACGTACACACACACACATATACACATACACACATACACACACATATACATGTACACACACACACATACTATATATACACACACACACACATACACACACCTTCCTTTATTAGCTCCTTTAGCATAGGAAACACTGGACCTTCCTTTATTAGCTCCTTTAGCATAGGAAACACTGGACCTTCCTTTATTAGCTCCTTTAGCGTAGGAAACACTGGACCTTCCTTTATTAGCTCCTTTAGCGTAGGAAACACTGGCCCTTCCTTTATTAGCTCCTTTAGCATAGGAAACACTGGACCTTCCTTTATTAGCTCCTTTAGCATAGGAAACACTGGACCTTCCTTTATCAAAGGAAAGGAGATAATTCCGACCCACAATTCCTTGTGGTGGCAACATTTAAAGTGATGCAGCATGAAAACATACGTATATGTTTATCTCACAGGTTTAATAATTATACTCATACAGTCATAAAGTAATAAAGTAATCAAATAATCAAGTAAAGTAATCAAGTAATACAGTTCTAGTGACTGATTCCAGCAACTAGCCACTCGGCTGGGTGCGGGAGAAGAACGTGTTCCTTACTCTCTTCGACAAAAAGATTCCAGGCTTTTCACTTTTGGGTGAGGTTCCCATTTAATTAGAATAATCGGCTAACAGATGATGACATAATATCTGACTTATCTTCCTGGTCTCCCTCTGGTGTGTCTTGCTTGCGGTAAAAACCGTGTGATCTCCCTGTCACCCATGCATCCTTACCTGTCTGTTGCACCTGTGCCCCATATATCAATTACCTGCCACACTAATACACACTGCCAGCCGTGGTCAACCTGAGATAGGCTCCCAATAAACACAGACGTAACTAATGGCTCCTACAACAGTAATGTAATAAAGTAATAAAGTAATAAGATACATGTAGATGAAGATGAACAGAGACAATCCTTTAGTTTAATTTTATGTTTTATTTACTTCAAACATGTAACAAAAAAGTAAAGAAATATGAAATAAAATGAACAGTAAATCAAACAAACTGTCAATAAACAAGTTATCAATAACAATAAGCTTCATTAATAAAAAGACGTTAGGAGGTCATCGTTGTGTCTTTACTGCTCTAGTATCAAAACCACAGAGGAAGAAAGAAACTCCACGTTTCAGTCCTCCATATACAATTTGAATTATTAACAGTTAAAGTTGTTAAAGTGAATAAATTAAGTTTACTAATTAATCCATTCAGATAAAAACCTTAAATCTTCATCTTTGTTCAGTTTCTCTCAGATTGAGGCTCTGATCCTCTAAAAGTAAATATGAATAAAACTCCAAATTACAGACGAAAATGATTTAGAATCCGGAACCAGAACCAGCAGCTGTTTTATGGATCATCACCAGAACCTCTTCACAACTCAGTGATGTCACACTTTGTCCAGACAGCCAATCAAACCAGGTGAGAGGCGGGCCTTACGACTCCCCGACTTCCTGTGTGGCCACAGACCGGTCAATGTTGTTTTGTCTCTCATGTTTGTATGAATAAAGTTGTGATGCCGGTCTCTCTGGGTCCAGGTGTTCCTGGACATGGTGGAAAACTACCCCACCAGTCTGCGGGTCCTGGTCTTGGCGGAGAACGACATCAGTCCGGAGCTGCAGCAGCAGATCTGTGACCTGCTGTCTGAGGGTGAGGAGGACGACGACAGGGAGGCCCCGCCCCTAACACAAGGCCCCGCCTCCAGCAGCATCCTGCTGCCAATCAGAGACAAGTACCAGCCAATCAGAGACAAGTACCAGCCAATCAAAGACAAGTACCAGCCCCCCACCTGGCTATCCCACAGCAGTAAGGGCTGACCACTCCCCCAGACTGTCCCCCTTTACTCTCCATACTGGTCCCCCATACTGGTCCCCCATACTGGTCTTCCATACTGGTCCTCCATACTGGTCCCCCCAAAGACAGCAAGACTGGTTCAGACTGCAAAAAACCAGTTCAGAACCAGAACATAACTAGTCTACTTTCCACTTTATCATGCTGGTTCTCCTGATACAGGGTACCATACTAATTCAACTTGTTTAGTTTACTATAGTGGTTCTGTTGGTGTAGTTTACCATACTGGTTCCACTGGTGTAGTTTACCACACTGGTTCTACTGGTGTAGTTTACCACAGTGGTTCCACTGGTGTAGTTTACCACACTGGCTCTACTGGTAAGCTTATCATACTGGTTCTTCTTGAGTAGTTTGTCATACTGGTTCCACTGCAGTAGTCCACCAGTATCAGTACTCTAGTTTCACTAATGCTGAGTTCGCGCCAGCCTGGTTCTTTCCCAGTTTTAGCCTGGTGCTGTCCTAGTTGAGTCCAGTATGACCCCAGTCTGTGCCTCTGGGCCAGTATACCTGGAGGTGTCCCAGTTGACCCAGTATTAGACTGGTTCTGTGGTGTTCAGTGTCCTCAGTGACAGTAGGAGGTTTGTGTTCTGTATAATAGTCTAAGTGTGAAACTGGTTAAACTGGTTTTCAATCCCAGATGAAACTTCACCCTCTGGAGTGAATCCACTTGATTTTGATAAATTGATATTGTCCCAAAATGTATATATTTTTCAACTCTGGAGTGTTTAATAT